CCTCTGTTGCCCAGTGGGGAGTGTAGTCATGCAGTCATAGCTCACTGCAACCTCAAACTCCTAGGCTTAAGTGATGGGATAGTACCTTTAATTACTAATACCTTAATTTATATTTTCAGGTTTGTGATAATTTGTCAAAATCACCTTAAGTAAATATTTCCTTTCTATATTTCCAGAAAGTATACATTTTAGACCCTTCTAAAGCTATTCTATAATAGATTTTAAGATATAATTTATGCCTACTAGAGATAACTACTATAAATACACCATTTGCAGTTTTATTTTAAATGAGAAACCATCAAGCATGCTAGAATTGTGAAGCTTTTCCTTATTTTGTTGTTGTTGACATGAATTAACTTGGCCCCACAAAAAAGGGGGCAGGAAAGCCATGACAAAAAAAAAAAACTTTTTTTTACCCCTATGGAACTTGAGGAACAGAATCAATACTTCAGTTATAAATAGTTGAGCTATACCTCAAATTTCTATCACCCAGTTGCCCTTTCTATGAACTAAACAGAATTATCTGTGTGATTGATATGTTTTACCAGGTTATTGTTCATGTATAACAGTACTCTTTTTTGTAAATACCTTTTTTGTATATATTTATTATTGTAAATCATTTGCTGCCACTGGCAGTCTATAAGTCTAAACTATTAAATGATACACTTTTATTTGGGATTTTAATTTTTAACTAAGTGATCAAGGTTTTAAAACTGTTGTTTTAAATTAAGAACTTTTTGAACTAAAACTAGCAACTCTGCCATAGTTCATTGATTTTTTTTTTTTTTTACATGAAACAATTATTTACAAGATTATCTCAAGATTACTTTTCACAAAGTAGGCACATTATATCAGCATTTTGCTCTGCTTTGTAAATTTGCTGTCCAGGATTTTTAGGTGGTATTCATGTGAAATTAAAGCAGATTGTCTGGCACTTTCCTGTAGCTACAGTTTTTTTTTTTTCCCCCCATTGCTTCTACTTGGATATAGTTACTGTGAGTCCATGAAATATAATAGAAATGTGAATAAAATAAAAAGATTTTAAACGCTTAGTATTTTTTTTAAAAAATTCTTTGTGAATGTGATAGAAACTAATATTATGAAGCAGTATAAAATATTTGAAGTGGTGATTTGCAGAATAGCCCAGTATTACCTTAAATAAAATCACATTTCTTGTTTTATATGTGTGATCTTATTAAGATTTTTTTTTTTGCCATTTTCTGAGATTTATAGATTAGTGTATACTTTTAAACTATATAAATTTTGTGGAAGGATTTTTTTAAACATTATTATATAAATTTTAAAATCGATATCATCAAAGTGAACCCATCTTGTGTCAATAAAATGCAAGAGTCCTTAATATTTATAATTACGTAGATGAACCTGTTTCTAGAAGGAAGCTGGATGTTTTGATTTTGTTGTTTATAGATGTGAGATTAGTACAGATTTGTCTATATTTTTATACCATATCTAATACTCTTTTCATTAGATTAGTCTTCAAGAGCAGTAGTAGTTATAATTTATTATTTTGATTATTTAGTATATAGTTTAGCTGTATTCACCACATTTATACTATGGATTCATGGCCAAGTTCAAGTTTCAGGAGAGCTGATAAACTTCACTTAAAATCCAACTAAAATTAGTACTGGAAACAAAAGGAAACATCCTTTCAAAATTTACTTTTGTTTCTCTTTGCCATAAATAGCAGCATTGATTTTTTTTTTTTTCTTTGTGTTTGTTATAAAACAGTTGCATTTGCAATATTATTAGCCTGAGATATTGATGATATTGTGATGATAAAAACTTGGATAAATTCCCTGTGCAGCATCAGATTTGCAGGAAAAATGAAGCACTTATTAAACTAAAATCACTGGTACTCTGAATAAATAAACATGGTCAGGGAGTGAACTACTTTTTTTGGAAAAATTTTTTTAACTTTTATTATTAAAATATTATAGTTTTATTTTTAGGGCCTAATGGGTTATATTGAATAGCTGGTTTCACTTTCTTACGGTTTATCACCAATATGTATAAAACTTGATATGCTAAAATCCCTACCCTTTGGTAAGCTCACTGTTATTTATTAAAATAAAAGATGTTTTTATGGGTGATTAATACATGTCTTCTGAATTAACAATAATTTAAATAACTTTGACTAATTTTAATATTAAATTTTTGTTAACAACTGAATGTTCCCATACAGTTTTCTTAGAAGTCGACATAGCTCTTAAAGATGGGCATTTGACAAAACCGCCTGATACAGTGCAATAGCGAGTAGGTTTATTTCTGATAAGTGTAGTGATAAGCCACTGTTAAGTGAAAATGCCAATGTATCGGATTTTTGTTTTGTTCATTAGCTTGAGAAAATTGACCACTAGACATTTCTGTAATTCTTCTATCTCAGGGGAAAGAGTTTGCCAACATTGAATGAAATTTTTTATATTCCAGGTAATATATGCTAAAAGTAGTTATGAGAGAGTGGGCTTTTTAGTGTAAAACAGAAAAATCCAATTATGGTATAAAGTAAACAAATTTATAGAACAGCATATTGGTAAAATTTGATATAGAATGTAATGCCTAAGTATTAAGAAGGAATTATAAAATATAAAAAATAATAATTTATGCCTACCATCTCCCATGTCTTTAATTGGTATCCATTTCTTCACTCCTCACATTTCTTCTGACTTATTCCACCTGCCTAATTCCCTGATTTCCTGCCCTTCTTACAAAAACCAGTTCATGAAGGAATAAGGGGCAGAAGAAACTATAGTAAATACAACTTTAAAATTTCTCACACCATCACTTCCGTGATTATTAAATATTTTTACTTTCTATGAATGCTTGTAGAATTATATTTTGACCAAATTAATCTTGAAGTACAGGGAAAATATACTTAATTATTAATGAATCTGTAAATATGAAGTTGTATGCAGTCAGTGGGCATTTCAGGGTGAGAAATGGAAACACTGGTTATATTTCTTTTTCTAGTTTGGACCATTTTCAGAAAAATATGATGTTACTACAGCCCCTGGGCCACCAGATCAGTGCAAACCCCCTCAAGTGACATGCAGATCTGCAACTTGGGCACACGTGAATTGGGAGGTATTGTAATCTCCGTTGACTTATATTTACTTCCTTAAGTGATTAGAATTGTTTATATAAAAGAATAAAGATACTGTTCATTTTTGCTTCCTAAATTATACGAAGAGTAAGTCCTAGTTAAATTCACGTGGTAAAAAGTGAATTCTTTTTTATCTTTGAAGCATTTGAGTAAAGTATATTTGCGTTACAAGTATTTCGACTCATGTTCATGATGTGCTTTGTATTTTTATCAAAGGCTTTGTCTCAGTACTGAGATTTCAGCCACTGGTAAGCTTAATGTTCAGAACAAACATTCATGGGAATTAGTATAATACTGCTTCTCTTATATTTATTATCTCCAGTGTACTTACTATGTATAATAATAATCAGTAATGATAATTACATTTTCAGTTTCCTTTGAAATTTAACAAAGAAAATGTCCTTGTGTGGTTTAACATTTTATATTACTTAATAGAATTATTTTGAAGTATATTTACCTTAAAATACAAAAAGTTATTCTTAGTCATATTTCTACCTCTGATTCAAAAGTTATATTTTTTGACCAATCTTAAATTCAGATAGTCTTAATGAATAAAAATGTAAGATTGAACCATTTTGATTGTGCTTAAATGTTTTAAAGACATTCAAAAGCAATCCTGTTTTTAATGTGCTCAGATAAAGAACATTTTTGTCCAGAAGCCACTTGTTCAATGTCAAGACTAAGACCTTTATCCTTTTCTGAATTTAAAGGTTCCTTTGAGTAATGGAACAGACGTCACTGAGTATCGATTAGAGTGGGGAGGAGTTGAAGGAAGTATGCAGATATGTTACTGTGGGCCTGGTCTCAGTTATGAATTAAAAGGACTTTCACCAGCAACTACCTATTATTGCAGAGTCCAGGTAAAGGTGATCAGTGCCTTGTCACTTGAAATATGTAGAGTTTTATGTTTCGTTAGCATTTTCATGGTCATGTCTTTGTTAACTTGGAGGCTCTGTTAATTTATAGGCTCTGAGTGTTGTGGGTGCAGGCCCTTTCAGTGAAGTGGTAGCCTGTGTGACTCCACCATCAGTTCCTGCTATTGTGACTTGTCTTCAAGAAATAAGTGGTGATGATATAGAAAATCCCTATTATTCACCTTCTACATGCCTTGCAGTAAGCTGGGAAAAGCCTTGTGACCATGGTTCAGAAATCCTTGCCTACAGCATAGACTTTGGAGATAAACAGCCCTTGACGGTGGGAAAGGTCACAAGCTATATTATAGACAATTTGCAACCAGATACAACATACAGGTACACTCTAATAACTATGTTAATTTTTGCCTAGACCAGAGAGATACTTTAATAAAATAGTCAGCAACTAAACCTAAACCTTTTTTTTTTTTTTAATGTGGCACTTAGAATACGAATTCAAGCCTTGAATAGCCTTGGAGCTGGTCCTTTCAGCCATATGATAAAATTAAAAACTAAGCCTTTCCCTCCTGATCCACCTCGTCTGGAATGTGTTGCCTTTAGCCACCAGAACCTTAAGCTGAAATGGGGAGAAGGAACCCCAAAGACATTGTCAACAGATTCTATTCAGTACCACCTTCAGATGGAGGATAAAAATGGAAGGTATGTTTTTTAAATGTTTTAATTGCTTCTTTATATAGTTTCCTAGGTCTAAGTATTATATAGAAATTTTCTATAAACTATAGAAGTAAATAAGTTTTCCAAAACAGAGTTAAGATTGTCATAAAAAATGATTTTTAAGTGTACTGTTTTTTAAACATCAGAAGACAATGTCAATCTGTTTATAATTTGTGAAATACCAAGAGAAAAAATTAAATGGGCTATTCTTTGGTTCTCTTCTCTAACCCATCTCTTTATGATAGTAAAAGAGACCTAATAATGCCTAAAAATTAACTCTTAAATGTTTATTCCCAGCTGGACAAAATTTTACAGCAAATGATTGTGATTGGCTTAAGGCCTCTGAGATCCTTGAGGGCAGGGATTGTCTCAGCCTCCTCCACACCCCTGACACAGGACCTGCACTCTCAGTGAATACAATTCAGCGCCTCGCTTTCAGATCTCATTAGATTCTGATTAATTATGTAGTCCCTTTGCTAATGTCCCTGTCATTCAAGTTCTTTTCTATGCCTCTATCTTTAACATTTTCATACACATGTACATTTCCTACATACCATGCTTTATACTGCCCCACTAAATCATGCATTCGAATTATAGTGTTACTCAAAATATTTATAACATTAATTGTTTAAATGCCAACCAGTGCTGTTTATTCACATTATGTCCCATATAAACGATACCTTCATAGCTCTTAATCTTCTAATATTATAAGAATTTTGAATTTTAATTTTCTTCTTTTCACTCAACTTATTAGAAACAATTTGCATATCTGATGGATTCAGTTTTTCCCAAGGTTTTCCTAGTAACAGTTTTTTCCAAGGTTTACTTTGTTTTTTGTGTTAGGTTTGTATCTTAGCCAAGTATTCAACAATGGCATATTCATGATGCTTGTACATAAGTACTCTATCAGAAGTACTTACACATTTAAAATAACATACAAAATAATTTTGCATGCTGTATCACCAGTAAGAACATTACACAGAACAAACAATATTGATCATTTCCTGAAATCTGTGTGTCTGTGAATGTTAGCCTTTGTTCTTGGCAGAATTTTGTGTACTCTTTGTAGCCTTATCTCTAGAAGGAGGTTCTTTGCCTTGTCATGGGTTTTTGGTGTAGCCATTTATCTTTAGTATATGTTACTATTACTGGGTGAATTCTTTACATCTTTTCATCGTCTTTCTAGCATTTACATTTAGGGTAGTGCAAGAAGGCTTACTGGAAAAAATAGGTCTAATTAGTGTTCGGTTGAAAGATAATAGAATAAAAATTCTATTAGATATAAATTCTATTACAGAACTTCAAACTTAATACTAGCATCTAGAGAATTATTGTAGGATATGAGTAAGGCTTGTGGCCTTTGGCTGTGAAAATAAATAAATTAAAACCTTTTGTGATATTGTAAATTTAATAAATTGAATCAAATTAATATCTTTGGTTACATTCCTTCCCTTTGATTTTTCACAACTATTTACACTTGCTGTGGGGATATCAGAATGCTCTGTTAGCTGTTCCCTGACCATGGATTTTGTCATTGTTCCAGCTTTTTTCAACAGTGGTATTACCACTGGTTTTTTTCTTGTCATTAAAAAAAATATTTCAGAGATTAAAAAGGCAAGACTTATCCAATTACTGCTTCTTGGAAATACTATACTTCGGGTCATTAAAACAGTCAATCAAAAATATTGGGAAACATTCAATTTATGGATAACATATTAAGAGAAAAGTGTATGATGTTAAACTTCATTGACCAGTTCAGGTGAATAATTTATTGGAAATTATATATTCTCTCATAGTGCTTTGTAAATCTCTAGGAAACATCACCAAGTCAGCTAAAATTATGCCTGGGAATTAAGAATTCTCTTTTCCAGTTAAGACAAAATTAAAATAGAAACTTAATCCCTTAGCTCAGTCCATGCTATTGCTGGCAAATTATACGAATATGACTTTTGTTAGGAATAATTCATAATGAAAATTGTGACATTCTGAATATCGTTTAAAATGTATACATTAAACCAGGTGCAGTGGCTCACACCTGTATTTCTAGCACTCTGGGAGGCTGAGGTGGGAGGATCACTTGAGCTCAGGAGTTTGAGACTAGGCTGAGCAAGAGCAAGACCCCGTCTTTACTGAAAATAGAAAACATTAGCCAGGCATGGTGGCACACGCCTATAGTCCCAGCTACTCGGGAGGCTCAGGCAGGAAGACTGCTTGAGCCCAGGATTTGGAGGTTGCAGGGACCTAACGATGATACCATTCCGCTCTAGCCAGGACAACAAAGTGAGACCCTGTCTCAAAAAAAAAAAGTATACATTAAAAGACAGCATTCAGAAACAAAGCTGTACCAGAAGACTGAGAAGGAACAATTTTGAGGGTTAGACACAAAATTTAGCAACAGTCTTTAAGGAAACCATGTCAATTTGGGAAATTTACCAAATCTGTGATTTTCATCATCTGATGAAAAACATATTTATTTGAAGTAACAAATAGTTCCTGCATTAAATTTTGGGGGTGACTTATTACTCCCAAATAATGTCCCCAACTGTATCTTTTTTAGTAGTTTCTTAAAACATTTTTCATAAGATAGTCTAAGGTTTATTTACTAAAGAGTTATTTCCATTTTAGGTTTGTATCCTTATACAGAGGACCATGCCATACATACAAAGTACAAAGACTTAATGAGTCAACATCCTATAAATTCTGTATTCAAGCTTGTAATGAAGCCGGGGAGGGTCCCCTCTCCCAAGAATATATTTTCACTACTCCAAAATCTGTCCCAGCTGCCTTGAAAGGTAAGTTATACATGCTAAAATTATTTTCTTGTATAATAAAATATTTTTAAATGCATTTTCATAAATTTTTTGTTTACCATTATTAAATTTTAGCATCCAGTGTATGTCCAACAGTTATATTATAAAAAATCATATAGGCAAGACCACCTATTGAGAGTCTCACTCAATAATAAAGGCTGTTTTATCTAGCATATTGATACTCAGACAAGTAATGGTTTTGTCACTTATCTTTTTAATAATCTAACATAAAAATACTAAATAGAATAGGTAGGCTGATTTTCTAATAAATTCATTTGCTGTTTCTGCTGTTACTCAAAAAAAAAATCACAAACTCTAATTATTTAAATATTTTGAGTTGTTGCTATCTCATTCCAATTTCAAGGGGAGAGCCTAGTTGTTAAGTGAAACAAATTCTTAGTTACCTTGGATTTTTCAATCAAATTTACATGCATGTACATATATGTACACAGATTCGTATATTTTTTAAATTATTTAATAACTTTAGAGAGATTCTTATTTTAAATGACCCTAGCATGGATTATATATTTAGCCAAAAAGACCGAAGTTCATTCATTCTGAGGACTAATCACAAAGACTTCTAGAACCGTACCTAGATCATATACTCGAATGTATCATTTGTTAAGCAGATCCATAGTTAGCTGAACTCTTCTTGAATAGTCTTTATAATAATATTGATGAGTTCCACTGAGTTATTTTTCTGTTTCCTCATCCAGTTTAGTGTCTTTTGGCTTTAAGAAGAGTGCTGATTTTAACCTCTTTGTATGCAAATTTCAAAAATTCACTGCTATTTATGTCAAGTTTATAACTGGATTTTAAAGGTTTATTGATTTTGATTTCTGTGTGGTGTTTCTGCATAATGTGCCAAGCTAAAAACTAAGTGAGCAGATTTTATTTATGTTTGTTCCCTACAGCCCCCAAAATAGAGAAAGTAAATGATCACATTTGTGAAATTACATGGGAATGTTTACAGCCAATGAAAGGTGATCCAGTTATTTACAGTCTTCAGGTTATGGTGGGAAAAGATTCAGAATTCAAACAGGTATGTCCAAAGATATAATTTTGTGGTACCCTTGTTTATATATTTTTACCCTTTTTAAATTTGCATATATTTTCAATGCAAGATAGTCAACATCTTTACCTTTGTAATTCAAAAACATTTGTTCAATATGTACTATGTTCCAGAGATGTCAGGATTCAAGATCTTGTGAGTGTAACTACACTTGAACTACACTTACTCATTTATTTGACAAGTATTCATTGAACTCTGTGCTAGGCACTCAGGATACAGCACTGAACAAAAAAGTCCTTGCCTCCAGGGAGCTCACGTTCTAGTGGAAAAAGAGACACTAAAAGCAAATAAACACATCAATATATTGTCAGATAGTTATAAATGCAATAGAGAAAAAATAAAACTGGGTAAAAGGAATAGGGAATACTAGAGGAGAAAGCAACGAGTATTATTTTATTTAAGGCAATCAGGTGGTATGTGAACAGAGACCCAAAGGAAGTGAATGTGGGGAAAAGAATGTTCCGAGAGACCTGGGGCAGGATCATGCTTGTTAAATTTAATTAACATTAAAGAGGACAGTATGGCTGGGGTAGAAGGAGCAAGGGGAAGAGCTGATGGGGTCAGGTAGTTGATGGTGAAGGTGGTATGGAGATCAGGTAGGGCAGTACAGGCCATACTGTGGCTTTTGCTCCCTGTGGAATGAGAACCCAGTGGGGGATTTTGACCAGAGTAGTCATGTGATCAGACACAAGGTCATTTTGGCTACAGTGTTGAAACTAGAGTGAGACAAGGGTGGAACCACAAAGACCAATAAGGCAGATTTTTCAATAATAATTATAGTCATAATACAGTGCTATAAATGTGGCAGTAGATACAGTTATCATGAAAACCTAGAAGTGTCACTTTCTTGGCTGAGAGATTTCGGAGATAGCTTCCTGGTAGAGGATGAATAACAGTTAGTCAGATGGACTGGGTAGTTGCCGGTTTGATACAGCTTTTGTAAAGAATAAGCTTTTATATAACTCCAAAGCCTAACGTCTGTACATTTCATCTGATTTTTCTTTTCATTATAACCTTCTTGATTTTGAGGGCTTAAGCTGGGTTGTTCTCATTATATCTTATTTTAAATTTTCCTTTACCACTAGGAAATCAATCATTTATCTGTTTTATTCCAGTATTGAGATGAATATTTTATAATATAATTTTTTCTTCCAAGTTTTAAGTATAGAAATGTATTATCTTAACTGAAATTACAAAAGGTCCTAAGAGTCAGATTAAATTTGGCATGTGATTGTTTTTCTTTATTAAGCCATCTGCAAATTGACATGATAATTAGATCTGAAATGTAATTTACAGATAAGCAGGTTTCCTTCTAAGGAGGAAGCAAAATTAATATTAAAGAAAATGTAATTATATTACATATTTAAAGGAAGTAGAGACCCCACATTTGAGTAGTATATGAATTTTAATAAGCTTACGTCACTACATGAAACAGCAATGCTCACTCTAATTTAACTTAAAAGCTAAATTAGCCCTGTCATCACTTACACTTACTTTAGATTGTAAGCACTCTGTAAAACTTAAAATACTGATATCCTTAGAACTTCATCCTACATGTGCTCATCTAAATCTCTCAAAAATTCTACGACTTACTGGCAGGTTACATTCAAAAACTTTGAAGGCCATTTAAGAGTTCAATTTAATTCATGGAATTTGATATTTGTAATTTGTTATTCAGTAAACATGTATTTAATACTTCGTACAAAGAATTATGAGGGGGCTACATTATTAATAAGTTGCTATTCTAATTTCAAGAAAGTTGTTTAGAATCTAGTAAGCAAGCAGAAATTTTACAATCATGACATTTTGTTTAGCCAAACAGAAGGTCATAATAAAGATAAAACCTACTTTATAAAACATGAATGATTAATTCCAGCAGGACTTTGGGACATTTTCCAAAAAGAAGGAGTGTCATTTAAGTAAGTCTTTTTGGGAGCTGGGGAGCTTAAAACATGAACTCTCAAGTGTGACTTGAGTAAGGCTCAAGGATGGAGTATGGACAAGGCACAGTGGCTCACACCTATAATCCCAGCACTCTGGGAGGCCAAGGTGGGAGGATCACTTGAGCTCAGGAGTTCAAGACCCGCCTGAGCAAGAATGAGACCCCTTCTCTACCAAAAGTAGAAAAAATTAGCCAGGCATGGTGGCACGTGCCTGTAGTCCCAACTACCCGGGAGGCTGAGGCAGGAGGATTACTTGAGCCCAGGAGTTTGCGGTTGCTGTGAGCTAGGCTGACGCCACGGCACTCTAGCCCAGGCAAGAGAGTGAGACTGTCTCAAAAAAAAAAAGAAGATCCCATTCTGTGATTCTAAGTAATCTCCACTCTCTGAAGTTAATGAAGTGATTTGCCATAGACACCTATAGAAAGCTCTCCTTATTCACCACCTGTTTCATTCAATAGGTGTGTTCGAAACTGTATGGAAATTTGTCATACAAAGATACAATGCGGGGAGTAAGATTAGACACTGTCCCTGCTTTCATGGACTGATTCCATAAAAAATTGACTTCTTACATTTGAGGACAGCAAAGAAATGCCTGAGGGCTGATTGCGCTTTTCTAGCTGCCTTGGGGCACATCTGCACTCCTTAACTTGTCTGTAAGTTCTCTGAGGGCAGATCTCACCTCCTCACCTTTCAAATGTCTCCTGCCCTTATACAGCAGGCAGATAAGTACTTTAATGAATAGGCATTGTTTAAATGTCATTTAAAAGGTAAAATCAGTGGCATTAACTAACTTTCATGTCAAGAACCGTTCTAAAACCAGCCAATTTTAACACATTACCATCCAACCTTCACACATTATTCTTCCTTCTAATATTTCATTAACAGATTTACAAAGGTCCCGACTCTTCATTCCGGTATTCCAGCCTTCAGCTGAACTGTGAATATCGCTTCCGTGTGTGTGCCATTCGCCAGTGCCAAGACCCTGTGGGGCACCAGGACCCAGTAGGGCCCTACAGCACCACAGTGCTCTTCATCTCTCAGAGGACTGAGCCACAAGCCAGCACCAACAAAGACACTGTGGACAGCACAAGGACCCGGCGGGCACTTAGTGATGAGCAGTGTGCTGCCGTCATCCTTGTGCTGTTCGCTTTCTTTTCCATTTTCATTGCCTTTATCATTCAGTACTTCGTAATCAATACAATTGAAATATAATTTTATTTTTTAATGCTGTATTACATTTTATTTTGTCATGTACTAAAATTATTTCTGTATTGCTTTTACAAAAACAGTGGCATTTAGCACCGGCATTGAGACTATAGCACATCATTTTTGCCATTTTCAGTGCTTATATCGTTAGGTAGAGGCTGGCACTTTATTAGAATGCAAGCCACAGAAGTATCAAAGTTTGATTTTTTTGTTTGGTTAGGGCTTTTTTTCTTTCCCCCTTTTTTTTTTTAATATGCCTTCTTGTAGAACAGACTTTCTAAGAGGCAACAATTTATAATTGATATTTTGACCAGTCAGCATGAGTGTAACAGTAATAACCTGATCTGTTTTAAAGATTATTAGCAAGTGAAAAATTCAGAATGACTAGAATTTACACTAGCATACTATATAAAAATGTTAAAGTCTGATGCTGTGAAAGCAATCTAGTGCTATATTTCTACCTCCTCATTTGTCTTAATTATTTGGTAAGTGGGATTATGATGAGTAACTGGAGGGGCTTAACAAACAAAAACTGGATGAAAGAATATGCATGGAAAACTTCTTGTTTGATAAATGTGGAGTTCTTCATTACAAGTATATATTCATGACTTCACAGATAAGTCACTTAAAGAAAGCACAGGCAGTTTACTTGGCCTAAAAATACTTTAATGTTTACTCAAAAAGTACCTCTTTAGGTCTTGAGAACATGGAAAAGAACAGAGGGCTTTTAGATAGTTACTTTTTAAAAAGTAATCATAAAAATCAACTGAATTTCAAGCCTATTTGGCCCCTGTTTTGTGAGCCTTTAAACTATATGTATGTGTATAAGTGCATTTACGTACATACTTGGCATATATATAAACTATACAATACCAAGGGTAGAAATATGTATCACATACATACGCTCACTCCATCTATCTGGTATAGGCTAATTCTGAAGAACTCCCACAAGTTTTTGCTGCTTCTCCCATAACTACTGCCATCACCATCCGAGTTCATAATCAAACCTAACCTTTTTGTTTAGGGCACCAAATCTGAAGACAAAATTAATTTGCACCAGTAAACTTCAAGCTGCTTTCTTTCTTGAAAAACTAATGTTTAATGTATAATGTCTGTTTGGATACTGTTCCAAATTGTTGATTGCATGTGGTTAATGTTGTATTAGAGCACTTTGCAATTGCATAATCATTAATGTTTTGTGAGCTTGCATTTGTGAGTTATTGGATGATCAGACTGAATCTTGTCAAGTATCACAATGTACATCTTGCTTAGATGTCAGTGACTGCCAGTAATAATAGTTTGTAATGAAACTATCTAAAATTCTTGTTTTATCACATCTGTTATCTGTAAAACACCTGTAATTAGCTTTTTTTATTTATTATTTGATTTTTAGGATAGTGAATCACTAATTTTTAGTTGCTGAGATTAGCATTTTAGTGATTACTAAGCACTCTGTCAATCTTTGAAAAAAGGAACGTATGTTTTGTGCTTTGAAGATCTCTGAAGAATTTCCCTTATAATAGAATGGGCATGTATTGTAATTGTTTTATGTCAAATGATCTGTGCTATAGAAAAAACATTAACCTTTGTTCAAAAAAGAAATGGATAAACTTGGCCTTTCTGAGTGGTAAGAATGACCTGTCACTATAATATACTGTATGTTTACATTTTATTTAACTCTGATCCCTTATGTATAGGGTAATGACCCTCCCCCAAAACAACAGTGATTGCGTTTGTTTTCTAGAAACTTCTTTAAAGTGCCACATTTGGCAGTACAAATGAGTTTGAGTGTAATAGCCCAGAGATTTCTATATAGTCGAATGTCTAAAATGGTAAAATGTGCCACTGTAACAAGTTACAGTGGCTTATGTTTTTCATAGTAATTAAAATGAACCTCCTATTTTTGATAGTAAATGTCATTTAATAGTGTACTTGCCATTTGAGCCTCACTGCAAAATTAGTGCAGAGGAGAAAACAATTTTTAATGTAATCTTGATTTTACCTCATATACTGTACATTCCAAAAACTCTAAACTTTTTAAAGATTATAGATACACTACCAAACATATCACCTTGAAATTGTATAAGGTTGAACTTCATACAAATGAAAAAATATCTCATAGAACACATAAACTATGTAGCAAAAGTATCTTTAAAATCCATGGAAAATAAAAGTTGTATCATTTTTTTGAGATTGTTTATTGTATTCATATACATTCATTATTTGCTGCCTGTTTGAGAAAATGAAATGTTAAGGTCTCCCTCTTGCAATGGGCTTAAAACAGTTTTCCCAATAGCATTCAAATCTTCAACATGAGAGGACCCATTTTCATTATATAATATAAAGTCCAGTAGACTAAAGAACGAAATTAGAAGTTTTATCCCAGTGACTTGATTTTGTGTAATTCATTAAATATGCCATTTCCTTATTTAAAGAATAAGATGAGTCTCAGGTCAACTTCCCAATGGGAAGATGATCCCTAACCTCTCCTCCCCTTTCATGCATTCCTCCTATTTCCTAGTAACTTTTCCCACCTCCAGGGGCCCAGAACCTTCCTGTTATTGGCGCTGCTGCGTCTGCCTTCCACCAGAAAGTCCAACATTCTTTCTCACTCATCCTCCATTAAAATTTCCATTTCACAAACCTCCTCCTGGGGATTCATTACTTTTAAAGTCCATGTGGATCTCTAATTGCCACAACTGCAGGTACTATAATAACAGTTTAAAATTTTAGTCTGGGGAATGGGGTACATTTTGGATATAGGAGCATCACTTCACTCCACAGAAGCAGCTGAGTATGAGTCCAGCCTTGGGAAGGGTATAATACTGATTGACAGTATTGCACGTCATCTCTTTTTTTCTGTGGCTTGGAAATGGGAATTTTACGCACCATGTCTGAGCATTCCATGGGTTAGTTTCCACCACAAACACCTTGCTTCTCACCATTATGAACAGATTCTCTTTCTGCAAGAGGATCCTGTATGGCGGCTCAAGGGGGCAGACTTCAAAAGAAAATGGTTCCCCAAAACTTGAGCAGTGATTCTGTAACCTAACCCCCTACCACCAAAATAGATGATGTTGCCTCACGTCTTTAGAGTTTTTTAAATATGTTTTCATATATATTTTTTAAGATAATGTATATGCCCTTGAGAGTATCCCTTTTCTTTACTTACTCATTTTCTCCCTAATGCTCTTAATGGGGAGAAAAGACTCAGGAAAAAAAAAAAGCTGACAAAAGAACCAATCCACAGTGTTCAGAGTGGTGCCTTCAAATGTTTAGATGCCATAATGGCTAACTTTTGTCTCATGAACAGGGTGATTTTTTGTCATTTCTACCTACTATGAGAAATTTGCCAAGAGAAACGGCTTTGAAACTGCAGGGGTTATGAAGCCACATGACCCATTGAAATCACGATGGCTAGTATCAACTGACCACCCAATGTGCCTCAGGCATCGTGTTCAGTGTTTTCTCTTGGATACCTCATATAATCCTCTTAATTGCTCTATTAAACATAAACTGCAGCACAGAGAAGTCAAGCGCTCTGCCGAAGTTCTCATAGCTAAGACATGACGAAGCCAGGATTTGAATCCGAGTGGTTGATCTGGTGCCCTCACACGCGAGCATTCTCCTCTGCTGTCTCCCCAAAGAGTTCTAAGAAGGGAATCAATGTTAATTGACTTTAACAGTACATTTACGATAGCATTTATGTATTATCACCTGTTTGCCAGGCCTTGTGCTAAGCACTTCCTCATGTCCAGAACAAGCCAAGCCACAGCCCTCTAGGGATCGAACAGAAAAAAAGCAGGCCAGGAGAATCTGCTATCAGACTAAATGAGAAACCGGAGAAAGAGCTACAATGTGGACGAGCCTTGAAAACATGCTGAGTGAGAGAAGCCAGACACCCAGTGTATGATTCCATTTATTCAATATATGAAATACCCAAAATAGGCAAAGCCACAGAGACAAAAAGGAGATGAGTGGTTGCCACGGGCTGAGGGAGGAGGAAACAGAGTAATTGCTCAGTGGGTGTTGGGGTGATGGAAATGTTTTGGAACTGGGTAGAGGTAGTAGTTGCACGACTTGGTAAGCACACTAACTGCCAATGAATCGTTCACTTTAGAACGGTTGATTTTATGTGAATTTCATGTCAGTTTTTTAAAAAGGGAATACAAGGCAGACCTAAAAACTGATAACACAGGTAAGACCACGGAACCCTGGGAATCATGGAATCAATAAAATTGACCTGGTCATTAAGTTCATTTTGCTGAGGACACAGGCCAACTTCTCACTTCCTTTTCAAACCTTTTCAAACTTCCACACCTTCCTGGGTATGTTCCCACTCCTTCAGTCTGTGGCATGTGCCTAGTTTATAACAGAATATTTCATGGATGTCCTTGGGAGCTACTGAGTAATTTGGCCTGCCCAGGCCTAAGTTATCAGCTCTATCCCACTCTTAATATTTCTAGGATGAGCCAGAGGTCTTAGAGAAGAAACTACCTTTTACAGTTTCCCGGTTTACCGATGGGAGCTGCTGTGCAGTAAGAATGTTCGTATCAAGCAGTGTAAGACCTGTACCCTCTTCCCACCCACCCTCGCGGGGGCTTGCTCTCTCTCCACCACCCTTGATCATCGTTGCCACGCTGAGCCTCTCTGTCTCCTCGCAGGAGAAGCTGGGACCAACAGAAAATTGCTAAAGCAATGGCCACCGAGTAGCAGGAATTTTTGCAGTCCACGGTCTTGCCTGAATTTGCCCCGCCATGTCCCCACTGTGCAAAGAGAAGACCTGGGAAAGCCCGAGCCCCCAGGCCACTGTGGTGGTCAGGTCCTGGGGGTGGGGCTGGGAAAGAACTGGCCCTTGGTCTTCTCTGTCAGGGGTTCCCTTCCATGGCCAGCTTTGCCATCTCTGCAGTTCCTTAAGTTAGATGCCACTTCCCGGTGCCCGGGCTCTAGAGGCAGCGAGTCAGGAGAACGAGGCAGGGGCTGGGTGTGAAGCCACAGCGCCGCGTGGGTGGTGAGCACTGTGGAGCCCGCGAAGGCTGAGCACCAGTCTACAGGTGGCAGCCTTGGGGAACGTGGGCCCACAGATGCCACATCTTCTCATTTTGCAAGACAGTGCTGAAAATCTGGAACTTTACGTGAAATTTCCCAATCGTAAAAGGTGAGTTGAAAATATTGTGAAATGTGTGTCAACTGCTGTGGGTGCTCACTTTCAACCTCTGCCTCATACACCCTGCTCTTCTGCGGAGAAAAGAGCATAAAAACCGTGGAGCGTTTACAAGTTTTAACAGGTAAACTGCAAGTTATGAACATATCCTAAGGCTCCTTAAGACTTTCCAGATCCTTCCATTTGCCCACAAAATCTGGTTGCTGGAATACAAGCTGGAAGACAGTTTCCTAGCAGAATCTGGACCATATATAGCACTCCGCACGGCTGGTGCTGCCATGGTTTCTACAGCAAGAGGCCACACTGCACAGCAGGTATGGCCGTGGATTCTGGGAGTGGACAGCACCCTCATCAGCTGCCCCAGTGACCGGGGGTAACTCCTCTGTGCTTTGGTCTTCTCATCTGTAACACGGAGCTACTAAAAGGACCCTCTTATGGCTCTGTTGAGGATTAAATGAGTTACAGTAGGCAAGTATGCGGAACAGCACCTTGCACACAGCGAGCATTAGTTTTATCTTTATCCAGGTCACGTCAGCCTGCTGAAGGCCAACCTGTGAGGCCTCCAGCCAGGGACCAAAAGCCTACTGATGACACCAACCTCTTGCTTCTGGGGACGCACGGCCATAGCCAGGCCAGACCTAGACCCACTCTTACCCACACTAGTGTGGAGAGGTACTCGTAGGATAGAGGGGGGATGTCCTCACTCCTGGTCTACTGAGAACTTCCTCTTCCTCTCACCAGATGAAACATGAAGTCAGGAAGCTGGTGAATGACCACAGAAATGCAAAGTAGAAAACAGATATGGTCACTTCACCAGGTATCTAGTCCCATTTCTTCCCAAAACGTGAGTGCCAACCCAGTATAGTAAGGGCTCAGATACACCCTAAAGGCCAAGTCCTGCCTGTACCTCGGCGCAGCAAGGTTATCAAGAAGCCCGCTGCGAATTCATCTCTCCCTATATCATATTCCATCTTTAAACTAGATTATCCATGAATGCTCACTGAGCACCCACTACAATCAGGCTACTGTTCTTAACTGCTAGCAGTTGTAAAGGAAATAATGGTACCTGGTTCTGCAGAAGCTTATCCATTCTCTGAGTTAACAAATATTTATTAAATTCTCACTTCGTGCCAGGTACTGAGCCAAGCACTAGGGACAGCAGTGAACACAATGGAGGCTGCCTTCTGGTGCATGATGTTGGCAGAGAGATAATAAATAGCTAAGGAAATTAAATAGTATCAATTGATAATCAGCTATAGAGAGAAGATAGGACTGAGAAAGGGAGGGTCTGAACGGAGGGGGAGACACACAGAAGAGCCAGAGAGGAAGCGGGTCCGGTTGGCTGGGTGGATGCTGGCTGGGTGGGGAGGAGGAAGGCAGCCTTCAGCAGAGGCTGGGTAGCCCATCAGGTCATGGAGCAGATTGGAAAAAATGAAAGCGACTCAGGGACCTGCAGCCTGTGAGAGCCAAGGGGAAGATGTCAGGTGCTCCTGGGAGGATCAGCTGAGTCAGAAAGAAACCGCATAGTTACCAGTCACAGGCCTTTGCCTCCGAGGCCGGCGGAGTAGCTGGTGACCAGGCAGGAAGGGGACATGGAACTGGAGTCAGGCAAATGCCAGCCCAGGTACCCTAGGAACCAGCACGAAGCTAGGTGCCCCTCTCCGCTCTAGCTTCATAAGGACCTCTAAGCCACTGCTGCCCCCGCCCCCACACACCTGGGCCGCCTTAGGGACAAACGTCATCCAAGAGAACTGAACACTACCTAGAGGGTCTGTTCAACTGATCAAACTGGACCGTGCTTTACTCAGGCTACATCATTCATTTTCTCTTGCTGAGAGTTCAAAATCAGAACTGTAGGTAAAGGAATTACATGTTCTCTGCCTAGAAAGAGGAGGGAGAGGGAAGAAAAGAGACAGTGAGTATGGAAACTCTTTCGAGAAGTTTTGCATGAAAATGATCCAGAAGAAAGAGAAAAATGGATGGTGTAGGAGAGAAAGGTGGGTCGGGGAGGGAGAATGATGCAGTCGATGTCCTTGAGGAGGCGAGTGGAGTGCTTAAGGGGCAGGGCTGATGTCAGCTACAAGTGCCACCAACTCAGTGGGGGAAGAAGAGCAGAGGTGGCAGGTGGCAGTGGGAGGGTGTGAAGTTCTCTTCAGATTGCTTCTATTTTTCAGAGAAACAGGTGCCAGGTCACCAGCTGAGAGTGAGGATCGGGGAGGAGGAGTTGGGGTTCGAGGAGGAGACTAGTCTGGAAGGTGAGACAGCGAACCGGGCAGGGCGAGTAGGGACAGCGGGAAACCAAGCGCCCCACTAAAGGTCGTGCGTTTCCAGTGAAGCGACTCAACAGAGATTGGGGAGCATGCAAGGAGAGAACCCAACTTAACCAGGGTTGTGGCTGTGCCCTGGTTGAGCAGACACAGCGGAGACTGTGACACAACACGGTGTGCCCATGGAGGGAAGAGCGGGAGTCGCGGGTAGGACTGAAGTCAGGTGAAGCAAGAACGTGAGGACGAGGGGCAGGCGAGGGGCGAGGCGAAGGTAGGAGGAGCGATGCCCGGAGGTCCCAGGGGGGTTGAAGGATCCCCGGGGAGGAGTCCTAGGGAGAGGGAGCTAGAAAGAGAGGGTGCAGGTCGGGAAGAGGGAAGACTAAAATGGAGTTGGGGGGCTCCCAGGCCCTGGCAATGGTGAGGTGTCAGGTGCGTCCACAGGACTGGCTGGGATGGGGGAGGACAGGGCCTTGGATAGAAAGGAGGCCGAGGCACTGCAGGACCAAGGGTGGGTGTGGGTGCTGCGGGCGCAGTGCTGGAAGCAGACAGGGAAGGTTCTAGAGACTGGGGGTGAGTCATGTGGGAGCAGCACGAGAGGGCGGGCTCCGGCGCAGTCACACTGGCAGTCACACTCACAGCCGTCACAGGACCGCTGGAAACTGCAGTGATGAGGGAGGCGAGAGGCTCCCCTCTGCGAGCCACAGCTCTTGCACCTGAGAGGAGCTGCAGGGTGCGCGTGTTCCTAGGGCGTCCAGGTGGCAGGTCCAGAAAGGAGGGGGGAGAAGAGGTCGAGGATTGAAGCCACCACAGGATGGGCGGGAAAACTGCTAGACCTGTGTTCACCCAGGAAAGGACGTGGGACTCGGCAGAAAAGCTCAAGAGCGCTATGGGAAGCTCCGGGTGAGGACAGACTGAGGGGACAGACTGAGGGGGTGGGCTGGGCAGCGTGGCGAGACCGAGGCCTGCAGGCTCTGGGGCGGGGCCCCCACCGCGCACACCCGCGTGCCCCTCGCCGCCTGTTTCGTCGCGGAGGCCGCTCGGTGCACCAGGAACAGCCGAGGACACGAAGACTAACGGGAAAGCACAGGGCCACACCACCCTAAGCACTCAGTGTCACCTGTTGTCATTAAGACCACAATGAACTGACTCACGCATCAGATTTTGTCCTTTTCCCCAATTCTCGTTCTTTCTGGTGTTGTCTGGATTTTTAAGTTCATAAAACATTTCATGCATAAGAACAACATACCGCATGCGAAAGTTCCCTAGTGTCCAGGAAATGCTTGTCTTGTTCCTTGCCCTGAGTAAACGCGCTCACAGTGCGTAGACTGCAGGCATCCTGGAAATGATGTGGTCGATTATGTGGTCAGTTATGTGGTCGATTTTGTGGTCAACACAAAATTGGCGAATTTACCTAAGAGGAGAGCTGGGGTGGGCGAGCACAGGACTGGGTCAAGATCACACAGCTACTCGCTCGGTCTTGGGGCCAGGACGAGAACCGGAGGGGCGCCAGGTTCCGGTTGGTCTGCACTCTCCTTCTAGTATTTAGCACTGCAGCTTCCTGGCGATCGTTGTGAGCCTTCCCCAACCCCCAGGACGCAGCCGCCAGCCCAGACCCGTCAGAAGGTCCCCTGTGGACCCGACAGACACACGCGCCCGCATTGCGCTGGGTCCAGTACCCAACCCCTGCGGGGTTCGGAAATCTCTCCCCGGGACGGACCCGGGTTGGGGGGTTGGGCGGGGGGGCTTTCCGGTTGCGGGGGGGGGGGGGGCGGGGCCCCCCGGGGGCTTGGGGGGGGGACCGGGGGGGGGGACGGGCGGGGCGGGCCATGGCCGGGGGCGGAGACTGAGCGCAGCCCGCTCGCTAGCGCTTCCGAGCGGCCCCCGCAGAGCTGGTTCCCGCGCCCGGCGCCACAGGGCTCCGCCGTCTGGCCAGGGGCAAGGACGCGCCCTCCCAGCGGGGCCACGCGCCAGGCTCCCGGCCCACCGGGGCGCGGCGGCCGCGCGGAGCGCCCATGGGCGGCTCCTGGAACCGCAGCGACGCCCCCGAGGGCGCGCGGGAGTCGCCGTGGGCTGCGCTGCCGCCGTGCGACGAGCGCCGCTGCTCGCCCTTTCCCCTGGGGGCGCTGGTGCCGGTGACCGCCGTGTGCCTGGGCCTGTTCGCTGTCGGGGTGACCGGCAACGTGGTGACCGTGCTGCTGATCGGACGCTACCGGGACATGCGGACCACCACGAACTTGTATCTGGGCAGCATGGCCGTGTCCGACCTGCTCATCCTGCTCGGGCTCCCCTTCGACCTGTACCGCCTGTGGCGCTCGCGGCCCTGGGTGTTCGGGCCGCTGCTCTGTCGCCTGTCGCTCTACGTGGGCGAGGGCTGCACCTACGCCACGCTGCTGCACATGACGGCGCTCAGCGTCGAGCGCTACTTGGCCATCTGTCGCCCGCTCCGTGCCCGCGTGCTGGTCACCCGGCGCCGCGTCCGCGCGCTCATCGCGGTGCTCTGGGTCGTGGCGCTGCTCTCCGCCGGGCCCTTCTTCTTCCTTGTGGGCGTCGAGCAGGACCCCGGCATCTACGTGCTCTCGGACCTTAATGGCACCGCGCGGGCCACGCCCTCGGCCCCCGCCTCGCCGCCGCCCCTCTGGCCCTCGGGGGCGCCCTCGCTGTCCTCCTCGCTGTCCCCCTCGCTGTCCCCGCCGTCGGGGCCTGAGGCCGCGGCGGCCGCGGCGCTGTTCAGCCGCGAGTGCCGGCCGAGCAGCGCGCAGCTGGGTGCGCTGCGCGTCATGCTGTGGGTCACCACCGCCTACTTCTTCCTGCCCTTCCTGTGCCTCAGCGTCCTCTACGGGCTCATCGGGCGCGAGCTGCGGAGGAGCCGCGGGCGGCTGCGAGGCCCGGCCGTCTCGGGGCGGGAGAGGGGCCACCGGCAGGCCGTCCGCGTCCTGCGTAAGTGGCGCCACCTCCGTTCCAAACGCACCAGCCCGCGTCGGCACTGTCAGCGGCGCCGCGCGAACTCTGGGTCCCCTTCCCCTGCTGGCCCCGCTTCTAGCTACGTTCGCGTTTGCATTTCTGTTCCAGCCTCCATCCACACGTACTTCCCGTCTCCAAAGAAAACCACCTCCTGTCTGCCAGGGGTTCTGGGGACCCCAGGGCACCCCTATGGGTAGGATACCCAGATTCAGTGAACAGCAACGCTTTTCCAAAGCCGCTGAGATCCGGGATAGGTCATTGGAGGCTCTTAATCCAACTGCCTCTGTTAGATGCCACAGATGTGATTACTCACGGTCCCCTTGAGAAGATGGGGTAGATTACGTTAAGCTAAAATTTTTATTTAATATTAAGTTACCCTGAAGGCTAAAGTGAGCCTTGCCCACATCAAAAAGCAAAAGATTGTGCAGACCTGGTGCAGAATTCTTTTCAAGAGAGCAGAGAACGTGTCTCAAGTGGCTTTGTGGAAGGAAGCCTGCCAAAACGGCTCGTTAGGAGAAATCGCTCCTCTGGTTTATGTTCAGTCTTGATTAACATATATATGAACTTAATATGCAGTTTTAAAGCAAATAGCGATGCAGTCTGCGGCCTGCTAGTTTTTCTGGGATGGAGATATGGCTAGGTATAGTCGTATCTTATTTTGCTGTTATTACTGCAGATGATTTCATTTGATCCCCGATACTTTCTTTTTTTTGAATCTGGTGCCTGTCTTTGTTTTGCAGTGGTGGTGGTTCTGGCATTCATAGTGTGCTGGTTGCCTTTCCACGTTGGCAGGATTATTTACATAAACACGGAAGATTCCCGAATGATGCACGTCTCTCAATACTTTAACATCGTTGCCCTGCAACTGTTCTACCTGAGCGCATCCATCAATCCCATCCTCTACAACCTCATTTCGAAGAAGTATAGAGCAGCGGCCTGGAAACTGCTGCTCGCGAGACAGTCCAGGCCGAGAGGTTTGTGCGGCAGCAGGGACACTGCCGGGGACGCTGCAGGGGACGCTGTGGGGGACACAGGGGGAGACACGGCAGTCTGCACCGAGACCAGCGCTAACGTAAAGACGACGGAGTAACCAGCACGGCCGACCCAGTCACCTTCTCCCACAGTTCTGGGACTTCAGGGAAAACAGGTGTGTAGAGAAATAAAGATTGAAAGGGGGAAACATGCTGTTAAGAAGAATGGAAAGAGGGGTTGCAATTGTGCGAGTTGGTTAAGAAATTGTCAACATGATTTTTTTTTAACCAAAGTATGAAATGTCACTGTACCACCCTTTCTATTTCCCATTCATGTACCTCCTAAGGGACATTCGTTTTAGCATCATGAGATCCCATGTCACAAAGTGTGCTCTGGAGAGGTTTTGGAAGTCTTTGTCACCCTACTCTTTGGAAATACGATTGTTCGTTTTACAGCTGACACAGAGAGATGTTGCCCCAAAACGGTGGTCCCGGAGATCAGGGGCGTGCTTGGTTTTATGTTTGGGGTGATATACATACAATGATGCGTACACAAGGAGCCGGGATAGTCAGAGATTTCATCCAAGAAATTATTTAATGCCTATCTATGGCTGCAAAAACTGTTAGAAGTAAGCAAAAGAAATTCCAGGTAAGCACCAATGTTCAGGGGTCCCCACCTCTCTCCAGGCTCAGAGGAAATGATAAAGTTTAGGTGCAAAACCCTCTTTCAGAAGTACTGTGCATGAACAACTGTTGTGACCACTTCTCCCTGAGAATGCCCCAGGGGGCTGTCCCAGGGCCGTGGGCCACGAGGTAGCAAACCTTGGGCATTGAAGAGGGAGTGCAGAGAGCTGCAGCAAGACTCAACTTTGCCAGGTAACTACTAATGATATTTATAGAGAGCTTTACTATGCTTTATCTTGCCTCAGCTCGGTGGGATGAGTTTTGTCGTCATCATTCCTGTTTTACTCGTGATGGAACTGAGTGTCACGTTTCCCAAACAGGAACTGGTGGGCCTGAATCTGACTCTAGTAATGGGATCCTCACTCACTCCCATGCTGAGATATTGCTCTTGCTGAAAAACACAAGAGACGATGGATTTAGTCAGGGTGAAAGAGAACATTGATCAACTACTCTAAAACTTTGTGTTGTCTTTTTCAGTTTAAAACATAAACGTGTTTTCAGAGGGCTGCTCCAAACGGCCTTCTGTATGACTGGCGCCCCCTGGAGGTGGGCAGGGTACAACTTGCTCAGTCGGACAGGGGACCCTTACTGGGGTTCTCAGATTGATAAAGTTCAAACCTAAATTCCAGTAGATTCTTGATATTTATGAGGAATTTGTCACAAAATCTTCAAATACACAAATACCAGAAAAGCGACAAATGCAACTTTATTAGAGTTCCAATGACAAATAGAAGGTCACAACGAGACTTGGAAGCTGGAGTCAACCTAGTTTATTCAGTGACTCTCGTTGCCTCGCAGCTCACAGTTTGGGCAGCCTCGGTGAATATCTAAATTACTTCATGCCACGGACCACCACCGTCGCTTTTGAATAGTTAAATCTACAAGCTACAAATACATAAACAACAAGGATCTGCTCAACATGCTGACAAAATTCTATTGCTTTTTCATTTTATTAGCCAAATCCCTGGCTAATCCCTGGCCCCGTCCTCAACCTGTGCAAGAATGAAGAAGTCTCTCCCAGCGAGTGGAAGCAGGTCACAGTCACTTGGGGAAGCAGTCCCTACACTATGTTCTACATATTTTCAGGGATTATTTGAAAAAATGGTTCTGTGGTCAAATATGGTAGGAAAACAAAACATTGTGTAACCCCTTTCCCGGCCCCCGAGTCACAACACAACCTGTCGGAGGCTCTGAGAAGGTGTTTCACCCAGCATTTCCTTATCTTATCACAGAACCAGCTCCCTCTCCTCCCTCCCCGAGAATGCTTATTAAAACCTCACGGAGTGAGGAAGACTTTGGGGACAGTGACGTAGGGATTCTGATAGTGGAGCTGCCACCCTTGTGCCTCTGCTCATCTCTGCTTGGTAGCACTAAGGTCTAGCTGCTGCCACAGCCTTGCTGCTCACAGGAGTCCCTCTCTGGAGCAGTCAGAAGTGGTCGCCTCTGCAGGGAAGGTCATAATAAGGAAACTTAAGAAGTATATAATATTTTAGATATGGAAGCAAAGATCTCTCCTTTGAGCTTTTCTGTTCAGGTTCTAGAAAACAGAGAATTACATCACACCTTCCTGGGCCCTCCAGGTGTGAGCGTGGGGAGAGTCACCCTTCCCTTTGCCGCAGGGTCCCTGAGACGGAGGGTCTGAAAGCCACCCCTTCCCGCGGGATCCCTTTGCCATCTCAGCTCATTCGTGGACTGTGAAATCAGCATAATGTGTCACAGTTTTCTTTAATGGGACAGAGTGGACAAGAATAGAATAGAAACCATCAGTGCATCCCATGTAGTAAGGTAACTACTGTGCTGTGAAACTTTTGTTCGAATTATGTTTTGGTGGGTGTCTTTCCTGGTTCACAAAATAAAATGTATTTTTACCGTGGGTCACGGTCAAAAATATTTTGAAAAGTTGTTCTAAGATCTAAAATTGTTCTCCCCTCTAGCAGAGAGTGGCCTGTTTTTGCACTGATAACTGGCAATGAAATCGTGGGGCCTGAGACGACCTGGGTGGCTGAGTTCGGGTCACTGGAGAGGGACAGGCAGACTGTGGTTTTTGGTTCTGGGCCCCCTCCCACTCCCCAGGGGAGTATCACAGAGGCCATAACCTGGCCATGCCCTGCCCTCCACCCCAACCTGGACGTGTGCTGGCATTCCAGCAACTTCTCTCCGAGCTCCCTCTCTCTTCTGCAGGACACACTGCGTGGGGGAGAATTTGTATTTCATTCATTCACATGGCAAATATTTACCAAGCAACTAAGGGCCAGGGGTGTATAACAAAATACACTAGAAAAATTAGTCCATGTCTAGTGTCAAAATCAATCAACTTTTTAATGGCATTTTTTCGTTTGAAATGTGTAATTGTGTCATCTACACTCAAACAGATTCAGCTCACAGGTTAATAAAAGCACTTAGATCGGATGGAAGTGCAGAATCTCAGCTTCCTGCCATCTGTGCCGACGTTCCTCTTCTTTTTTATATGAGACGTTTCCACTTCTGAAGGAAATGTTCAAAGAGCTATTGCACAACACCTGCTAGGATCCAAGAGTTCCCGGTGCCAGATTCTTAAGGAGACACATGAGCACCGTGTTGATGGTTTTTAAAAGTTTGAACACACCCTCTCCTGACTCTTCCTGCTCATGTCATAGTAACATTTGCCAGTATATGAAAGCATTTTGTATTTAAGGTCTAGTGTTTGAAAAGTGGCTTTACGTAAACATAGATGTGATGCAATTTTTCACTGTGAGCCCACTTTCTAAAGATCCCAAACTCTAAATATTACAGAGCCCCTGCTTAGCTCTGAGCAGCCTTCAAAATCGGCATTTCTTCTTCTCAGAGCAAAGGAACATTCATCCTCGCTGGGCAAGCTCGACCTCCATAGGAATGTGTTGTGGCCAAGCGCTCAACATGTCCCTTGTCCTGTGTAGGCTCCAGGAGGTGAGAGAGGCAAACTCTGCTCGCCGCCTTCAGGAAAACAACACGCACTTCTTAAAGAATAGTGGACGCCTGTGTAATGAGGGCTAAAAGGCATCAGCCAGCCCGGAAGAACTGAGTGCGAGTGGATAGTTGGGGGCGATGCTGTATGTGACTCTTCCATGGCACCTAACATGTCACACCACAGGTGGCTGGTTCCACCGGATGTAACCTGCTCCCTGAGGACAGAGACCGTGTTTTATTCTGCTTTGTGTCTCTTGCCCAGGTAGACAATGAATGTTGAACTCAACTGGCTTTGAAGGAGGGGATGGGGGTCCTCACCTCACTGGATGGGAAGAAATAGAAGCTGAGTAAGCAGATGGCGGGCACCTTTGCTCTGAGCCCCGAGACAGCACAAATAAAAACGTAAGGCAAGAGCAAAACAACACCCACAGTGAGCCGGAGCTGAATGCAGAGGCAGGGCCAAGGAGGAGGAGAAGAGGAGAGAGGGCACTGATGTAACGTAGAGCTGCAGCTTGCAAAACAGACATAGTGGGGTGGGTGGAGGCTGGGGCAGGGAGATTCGTTGGGACCAGTCATTTACCATAACCCAGGTCTAGGTCACTTGTGGGTTGGGGTGGTGATGCTGGAGCAGTGCCCATCACCAGGTTTGGCACTTCCGCTGGCCTCGCCCTTCCCCGTCCCCGGTTCTAGTGCCAGCTGCCTGGGCGCTTCCCACCTCATCCTCCTGCCTCCACACCACCCCTCTGCAGGCACAGAGCGGGAAGGGGTATGGTTTTCTGTCTCCTTTCTCTCAAATGTGTAGCAAGTGTGCAAGTCTTGAAAATATTCTAAGCATTTCTACTAATTGTAATGATGGGGGATAAAACAAGATTTAAAAAAAAAAAAACCAAATACATACAGGTTTCAAAGTTGCAACAAACCTTAAAAATTTCAATGTAATAGTTATACCTGTTCATAACCAGAACACAAAGAGAGCTAAACCTGCTCTTTCTTTGTTCCTGTCTCACTCCCACAGTAGTTTATGACTTTGTCCTGATAGTGAAGACCAGGGTCCTGCCCTCGGGCTTCTCATTTCCCCCATCATTGCCTAGGTCAGTGGCTCTCAGACTCCAGCCTGCAGGACAATCACCTGGAGGACATGTTAAAACAGATTGCTGGGCTTCACCCCAGAGTTTCACATTTAGTAGCTCTGGGGTGGGGCCCAAGAATTTGAATTTCCGTCAAGGTCTAAGGTGATGGTCTGACAACCGGTACCCTAGAGCTGCGGTCCCCAACCGCTGGGCGGCAGACCGGTACCCATCCGTGGCCAGTTAGGAACCAAGCCGCACAGCAGGAGGTGAGCCACGGAGAACAAGCAAAGCTTCATCTGTATTTACAGCTGCTCCCCAGCCCTCGCATCAGCGTTTTGCTCCGCCTTCTGTCAGATCAGCCCAAACCCTACTGTAAACTGCGCGTGTGAGGGATCTAGTGCTCCTTATGAGAATCTAATGCCTGATGGGGTGGAGCTGAG